ATATAACATATATGTCATATAACATATATAGTAACATTATAGTGAATATGTTATAGTGAATAAAGTCGTTGGAGTACCTTTACAAAAAAGAAAAAGGAGGGTTATATGTAAAACCAAATTGTTTATGGTATTATCCTAAAAAGGTCAATAAATTCCCGTCCATTACAGCTAGATAGAAAGTTTCAGGCCAAAAGTGGGTGTATAAATACGTCCAGCTCTTTGGGGAATAACAAAACTGTTGTTGTTTATGTTTAATTAACGTTTAGTCATTAAGCTACCTCATTTATTCACCGTTTAATTAATACTGGATATCAGATAATCATGCAGTTGTGTACGTACGTGTGTAAACAGACATCTACGTAACTACTGTTTATGTATAGATAGACTTTAGTTAATTGCTTTATCTTATTAATTACCTTTCCGGTTAATTAGAGACGTATCTAGTTAGTATTTATCCAGAAGATTGTTGAGTTAGATTAATTTATTTAGGTATGTTGATTATTAAGTTTAAAGTATTGAAAGTTAATGTCGAATGATCGTTTAGGTTTGGGTTCTTTTTTATTATTTCCAATGGGTTTTTGCCTTCTCGCCTGGTGGTAAGCTATGATGCGACCTTACAATAGTGCATTCCTTAGTGGTCCTGATGAAAAAATTGGAGGCGATTTGCTTCCTGCGGATAGGATGTCCAGATGTCCACCTTGAAGCTGTAACTAAATATACTGGTCTTTAAGAAATCCTCAATATCCATGTCCTAAATCTGCGTTTGACAATATTCTCCTCCTTTAATAATCAGTTTTCATTTCTGCTTACCCCTTCAGGGAATACCAGGTGTAAAAGTCCGTCACGTTTCGTACATCTGTCATCGTCTCAGGATCACAACGTTCACGCCCTTTGCTGGTGTAATAAATCATATTCAACCTGATCCACTTTTTCCCTGAACATCAATCTTTTGGTTTCTTTAGTGTAATATGTCATGAACGTTCTTGGACCAGTTTTGAAGAGAATCCTACTATGTATATTTGTAAAATTTGAGGTCAATAAAAAAATCTATCTATTACAAATGTACAATTTGTAGGTATGTAATCTGACAATCCACAAAAGGTTGGTAACGCACTTGAAACTCCTTTGGTAATTTTTATTATAACTTTCGTGAGACATTCTAAATTAATTATTATGTTTTCGGCTTACTCAGTACAGTACAGTAGTAGCGCGACGGTCGCCGCGTCGCGTGTCGCGGAATATGGGTCTCTAGCATGGCTTGAAACTAATCGAGTATCTCGTCAAATTATTACGTGAGTAAGCCGATAATAATTCTTTTGGTAATGTCATCGATTGCTTACCATCAGGTGATTCTTTAAAACGTAATTAAGATGATACATATTATTAAATGTAATAGTCCTCGTTACTGGAAACAAAGATGCCATAATGTCTCATTATATGTACACGAAACTTCCGTATGTCTACCCGGAATCGAAGCTCTAAAAAAATCTTACCATAGATTTAAGTACAAAGAACTAACCTTGTTAACAATGATCACGACCCGTGAATTTAAACAAAGATGGCCCTGAATCAGATGAGATAAAAAAAGAAATTGGACATCTCAACTTAATGGTCGTCTAAATGAGCTCTATAAATAATAGAGAAGCGGAGATGGGGGGTAGGTTTGTGGATTTATTTGCTTATGTGTTTCATATTCTCATTAGCAGCCTACTTCATAAGGAGCAAGTATCCCACTATTTTTAGAGTTTTCCCTTTACGTTTCTAAAATTTTCTTTCATCAAAACCTTTCCGTGTCTATCAACAACAACAGAAAAAATTATTGTCGAAATTGGTCTACGCGTTATTGAGTTTTGTGCTTACCAACACATTTTGCGGTCAATTTGAATTAACATAGGTAGTTTATCATCGTGCTCGCCTTTTGTCTTCGAAGGGATAAGCACATAGTGAGGGTAAACCTATTGCCAGTTCCCGACTTCACTTTATGTCACAGGTCTCCAATCCGCAATCCCAAAATCCCTAACTACCAATAAGTTGAACTACGCTCTTTGGACGTATGTGATACGATGTCGTAGGTGTCCGTGGGAAATTGCTTTTAATTTATTATATTTGATTTTACTATACACTTGCAGTATGAATTCTTGTTGCCATTTTTATAAAATGTTGATAGGTATTTGCAATGCTGGAATGCCCACAAAGAACAAAAAGATAGCTTAATAATTCTTAAAAATAATTCATTTGAAATTTGATACGCGTTTCATTTTGAAAGAAAGAAAGAAAGAAAATAAATTTATTTTGCCACAGTGTAGGGCACACGAAAATCACAAACATGAAGCAAAAAATAGAAGATTCAAAATAAAAAAAAAAAACAAATTAAAAATTTTAATAAAACTTCAATTATCGTTAATTGTATATCTATCTATAAATGCATTAAATAAACCTTATAAAACGCAAACATTGCAGAAAGCCAAACTTCGCATATTGAGCGCCATTTTCTTTTAACCTCAACAAATAACAAAGAGAATGAAATACAAAATGGAGTTTCCAAAGCAAAACGATGCGAAATATAAAGTAAACAAACAGTTCTTAGCTGATGTTATTGTCTTCTGAACTTTAAACAGAAGTCGGTTGTTATTTTAACATTTTCTCACTCGTTACAAAATATCTCCGACCTTCTCTCTCAGTAGATATTCACTTTTATTACTAGATGTGAAGTTTTGACATCTTGTACGGTTATGAAGTAAGTTATTGTAATGTTAAGGGTTTTTTTATTGTTTTTGAAATGGGAAATCATGATTGCGAAGAAAAGTCATTGGATGTCATTTTTATTTTGAAACTAGCGGCCCGCCCCCGCTTCGCACGGGTCCAACTATCTCGCTATCAAAGGGTGACTTTTTCCTAATCTTCCCCTCTACTTTTCTAATATTTTTATTGATAAGAACCATCTCTTGACAATAACAAACACAACAAAAAAAGAATTAGCAAAATAGGTCCAGGAGTTATGCGCTTACCAACACATTATGCGATCCATTTTTATATATAAGAAGAAGAAGATGTGTCAGACTCTTACTGACTAAAAACTATCTCGTTCCTTCTCCAGCTTTCGTTACATTATCGGAACTCCTGCAGAAAGATTACTAACTTAACTCTAACATAAGTTATTAACACTAATTTATAAAGAAATAAATGAATAAGTATGAATAATTTAGCGCTTATTTCACTACATTTTGTAATATTAGTTCCCGATAAACTTATTTGTTAGATTATTCATACAAATTACATAGTGAGTTTATTTTGTATGAGCGTGAGACTCATGTCCAGCTGTAGGCGAACCTTGGAGGAATGTGTAAATAGGCTATAAATAAATCTATTATCAAATTAAGTTTTTAGAATTTATTTTTTTATTTGGTACAATGATAGCAGGTGTGATTTTCGAATTCGATTTTTGATTTCTGAATCTTAATATAAAATGGTGTGGTTTGGTAATAACTCAGCCGACTATTATAACCTAATTAACTAAAAGGGGATATTCTTATAACACAGTTCCTTTGTATTTTTAACAAATCACAGCTAATTTAAAACTATCTGTATCCCAACATTTATAGGATTCAAAATAGTCTGCCAAGCAGTATCGTGCTTAGAAAACTCAAGTTGGTATTAAACCAACTACAAAGATGGATCACTCGGCTGTTCGTCCAAAGGCCATTGTACTATGTACTAAGCAAAACTTGTTTCAGCGTACGCGCATTGATAGCTACAACTAGATGTTTGATGTGATAAATTACAAAAAAAACTTTCAATACTTCTTTGTACCATTGTCCTATTATATAAAGAAGTCCCATTCAACGCAAACTTGTATGAGCTTTTCGTTAAAAAAAGTACAACGTACAACATAGAATTGCAATGATTTCGAGATTGAGTGTCTTTTATTGTCGATATCTGCAATAAAATTATGGATGATATAATTGTGACGAAACAATCTTCGTAATATAAGAGGTGGAATAGTTAAGAAGTATTTGACAATATGATTTCTAGAAATACTTCAATTAATATGTTCAAAAGTTGAAATCAAAAAAGAACAATTTTTTCAAACATTTTTGGCTCCACAGCCGCGCCTTGTGGTAGCCCCGTTATGTGTAATCGTGATGTAAAAAAAACTCGTAAAACTATCGATGATATAGTCGATGCGTCCTTAATGATACGTTGACGAATATTTTTGGGTAAAAGCCAAGTAGGTGAAATTTTAAATTAACCGTTTCTCGAGTGATGTCGTCTGTATCGATATTTTTTGTCGAGTAGTCGGTCGAAAGAGGTTTCTTTGCAAAAAAAGAAAATGTTAATGATATATCATTGTCGACGATTTTACGCTTGCCATTGTGTTCCGCAGTTGGTTTATTGAGGTTGTGGGAGTGTAATTTAACCACTTCCATAGAGTTTCTGGTGGTACCTATTTACCTGATGACCTTAATAGTAAAATATGTATAAGATAATTTTGAAAAAAATGGTTAAGTGTAGTTTCTGCGAATAAATATTCCCATCTATCTGCGAATTGTTTTTCTGTTTCTGTCAATTTATTATTTTAATTGCTTGGATGACTAGTTAAAACTGGAACTGAAGTGTAGTACAAGACACCTGTTCGCCATAGAAGATCAAAATCTCCCCAATCCAATTTTGATGGTCAATCAAGTCAAACCAAGATTTCATTATGAAATACATTCAGAATTATACCATCAATGTTTTTTTTTTAATTTAAAAAAAACGTTGCCCCACACTAGGATTTTCTGTGTTGTGGGTGCGTTTACAAACACACAATTTAACATACACATTACACCCAGACCCGAAACAACAATTTGTGGATCACACAAAGTGTTGTTCCGTGCGGGAATCGAACCCGCGACACGTCGCACGGCAGCCAGTTGGCCAGCCACCGCGCCAACCGTGTAGTCATTTTTGTTACATTACATTTTACACACATTTAACTTTTTTTTTCTTTATTTCTCCAGGTCGGGTCAGGCCGTTGCAGTTCTCCGGGAACAGGACCTCTATCACCAGCTGAAGGTCCTCGCTGGCCACACGTGCACCATCCCCACCCCCTGCACCACGCACTCCTGTCATCCAGCGTCAAACGAGGGAAGGAGCTGTGAGTACCTGGATCGAATTCCATCTTGATTAAAATGATAGACACTGAGATGTCCAACCTACTCCAATCAGACAAATTGATTTTAAACTTTAATCCTAAAAGCATTAAGTTCAAAGTGTTTTAAATAAATTGGATAGATTGGAGCAGGTTCGTATGCTGTTCTGTGTGTTTAACGAGGAGTGTCATAAAAGGGCGATGATGGTGTATTCTTAGGATAAAAAGAAAATATGCAGGTGGAGTTTTTTTGACGATCGTAGAATCTTTTGGGTATAATGATACTTATGTCAGAACAAGACTAATTAAAAGTTTATTTTTCCTTGCGGTTAGAACTTAGAAGGCAATATTTTCTTTATACAAAGGGCTGATTTTTCAATGGTTAGATAAAATTTATTTGGGGAATAATTATGATGCTGTCGCGTCAGAATGTTTGTATAAGACAGTGACAGCAACAATTTTATTCCTCAGATAACATTTATCTGACTGTTGAAATGTCAACCCTTAGTAAAATAATAAGGTACAGATATTTTATTTATATGACCGAATCTCTTGGTTTACTATCATCATTATTGCCTATTACTTACTATTATTATCAAGTTCTATGATAGTATATACGTTCTCCTGTCTCTACTGTTTTTTATTTAATTATGTCAATAAAACTCCTTTGCAACATGACAATGAAGAATAAATCTTGCTTTGTACCTCTTTTTTATCTATCTTCTGTGTAAAGTATGTATGTATGTGTCTCTTTTCTTTGTGTATTTTCTCCTTTTCTGTAAAATATTCTGTTTCATGTACGGCGACATTGGACAAGCTTCTGACCCAGGTTAAATCTAGATAGGATCACTAGGCGTAGATGACACCATTTTTACCCATTTCAATACTTATGCAATTTTTTTTCCGCATTTAAAATTTTTCAGTTAGGCTTATAGAGAAATTATCAAAAGCCATTTCTTGCATGAAACTGAATCAGACATAGAACATAGTTTTCAAACGATCATTTTGAAAAAGTTTCGTTACATTTCACTTAGATTTCATAATTTATTTTATACGGTTATCGAAACCCAATTCCAGGTATGTCTAGTCTACAAACAAAGTACCTAGGTTTTCATGGAAATCGAGTCATACATTTTAATTCTTTAGTCTCTTTTTGCATTTGAATGACAAAGACTATCTTCAGTTTTCAGGCTTTCAGAGTGAAGATTTCATGAATTTGTTATTTTATGATAATATTGAAAGTATTTTAAGGTGATATTTTTTTAGTTTATTGCTATTTGTAGAATTATACTGTTGAATTTTATTTTGTTGATTGTTTTTTTATTTATTAGACTTTCTTAGTGAGTATAGCATAATAAAAAAGAAATGACATTAAAAAAATTACATACTGTTTTATCTTTGATGGAATCTGTGTAGTTATATGCATTATCAGCGCGACTGCTGTAGTTTTGAAACATCTTTGAAATATAGTACTTATTTTTCTTTATATTTTTCACGATTTTAAAGCATAATATAATTTACTAGCCACTGTCCCGCGGTTTCACCCGCTGCTCGGATCCTTCATATCGTAGCGTGATGTTTTATAGTTAGTAGTAGTTAGCCTATAGCTTACCTCGATAAATAGGCTAGCGAACACAAAAAGAATTGTTCAATTCGAAACAGCAGTTCCGGAGATTAGCGCGTTCAAACAAACTCAACAGCTTTATAATATTAGTATAGATTTTGAAAATACTATTTTTTACTTACAAAATATATATATGTGCAGACTGCACACTTATAACACCACGATTGCTTTACTTATTCACGAAGAATCAACTTACAAAATCACCTTAAAATACACCCCGCATTTAGAAATGTACTCAATATTTTCAGTCTATTAACTTCTGCAGATGGTCTTTTGTCATTCTATTAAAAGAAATGGTTAGCAGAATTGTCTAATGTCTCTATTGTATTGCCTACATGTCTAACCGAATTAGAACTAAGGATATGTAAGTATATATGTGTATGTACTGTACATATTCCTGTATATATAATTATACATATGTTGTTACCAAATCATTTTCATCATATATTGTATCATCATCCTTAAAATCAGTGTATTTGTTACACTTCTCGTCGTTAAAGTAATGGCTGACTCGCGTTATTGTTTGACAGCTTAGCTTGATCAGTTTCGAGCTACAATCGGGGCCCATAATACAAAATTTTCACAGTGATAGTATGACGTTTGGAATGGTCGCCGCGTATGGGAAAAAGTTTGTTACATAATTTGAGGGGGGGGGCGGGGGCGGAACGGGTGTTTCAATTACACTTTTAGCGATTAAAAGGAGTATTATAAAGTACACCTGAAATTATATTTTGAGTTGGCCTGGACAGACCTACGCAAAATTATTGTTTAATGATATTCAGCGTAGGTACAGAAATCAACGTAATCACTTCTATAATTAATTGAACCGCACAACATTGTGAACGAAATTAATTACTATCTGTTTGGGAGACGATAATTAAGTTTCTGTTGCCAATGTTTTGTTCGTAAACATGTTAATCGTCAAGTCACGTACGTGGCCATTTCTATTGGAGCTACTGGCTTTTATAGCAAAAAGAATTCTGTTATAGCACTAAGAGAGTCTAAATTAACAAATATGGTTCTTAGAGCTGGCAGGTATACTTTGTTATATTAGTGTCATTCAATAGCCGATTACTGATTTTTTTTAAACAAAAACATTGTGTGGTTGCGTAACATACAATTTTATATGTACAAATGCACATCACACCCAGACCCGGAACAACAATCTGTGGATCACGCAGAGATTTGTTCTGCGGAAATCGAACCCGCGACACGTTGCGCGATAGCCGGTTGCCCAGCCACCGCGGCAACCGTGCAGTTAAACAGTCAAGCTGTTGATTTTATAAAGCTATTATTGATCAGTCACTTCAAATACTAAATTAATTGAAAAAAATAACGTCTTACTCACGTCAATAAACTAAGAAAAGCTCTACTAATTAAAGCGACGTAGCCACGACGCGCACGCTCCTCATGAATAAGAGCCCCGTTGTGACTTGAAACTAGTTGGGATTTTCTCAGTTTATTTACGTGAGTAAGTCTTTTTTTAACTAGCTTTTGCCCGCGACTTCGTTCGCGTGGAAGCAATAATAACACATTTTATGGTTTTCTCCACATAGTTCCTGATCTCGCGCGTTCCAAACTAAATGAAACTGTTCTAAATTTCACACAAATCGGTCCAGTAGTTTAGGCGTGAAGAAAAGACAGACGGACAGAGTTAATTTCGCATTTATAATATTAGTTTGGATTGTTTGGATAAACTCTATGAAACTGTAATTTCGTCATCAGATTTTGATCCTTTCGGACTACATATTATCCTAAACAATAATCATTTTCCTAGCATGTTCATCATCAGGTAGTTATGCTATATGTTAGTGATATTAATGTTTGTATGTTTGTATACAGCGATGGTCGCAGGTGGTCGGTGGCGTCGCTCCCTTCATCGGGCTACGGGACTACTCCGGGGAGTTCTAGTCTATCTGTAAGTCATTTATTTATTTATAACTAACTTCTCTTGCGCAGTTTCCCGCTGCTCAGCTCCATTTGATCGTAGCGTGATATTTTATAGCATATAGCACTCAGGAACATTATAGCTATCTATCAGTGAAAGAATTTTGGCAATCCGACCAGTGGTTCCAAAGTTCACCCCCTACATACAAACTTACAAATTTTACCTCTCTATAATATTAGTATAGATATAGATAATAAAGTAGGCTCACAGCTTATGTATACAAAGTATTGGTTATAGGAACTAGGTCTTATACATTAGCCAGTTACTAGCTAACCAACATTCTTAACATTATGCGTTTGTACAGACAAAATAGTAATGTGTAGAAATTATAATTAGAAATAATCAAATTAACATAGGACAAAAGTTTTTATCATATTAAAGTCATCATCATTATGCCTTGCCATGTGTTCTTCTAGACTGCAATCTATCTCCGTACCAAATTTCATTCGAATGTATAAAGTAGTTTTTGAGTAAAAGTGTAACAAATATACATTTTATATCCTTACAAAATGGGATTAGAAGGATAGCAAGCAAGATTTATACACTTTTCATTCTTTTTTTACTATTTTAATAAGGACTCTAATGAGAACGAACTACATGAATAAATTTCAACTCGGGGGTTGGATCTGAACCCTCGGTTTGCAGTCGTGTTTTTCACCCTCGTCTAACAGGGTTCAGCTGCTGTGATCCTTAAACACTTATTGGGCTTCCGTCACCCCTTTTAATACGTTTCAAAACTTTCTTATAAACCGTGTGGCAATAAGAATCAAAACATACAAGTTAAAAAGTATTTTTCTTTATGTGATTGGTCGGCGAACGAGCAGACGGATTACCTGATGTTAGTTATTATGTACACCTAAAAAAACCATGAAACATTCGTTGCCGGCCTTTATGTTTATTTATCGGACGGATAACGGAGAGTTTAACTAAAAACTGCGATATGTCGAATTTTCTGTCTCTTTTTTTGTTGTGTGTGTGAAAATCGTAATATAAAAGGTAAAACTATTAAATGTAACATGATCATTATAGACTAAAAAGAAGTCTATTCCATTGTGTTTAACATTAAAAACTAGTTCTTTGTATGTAAACCTACCGCTTTATTTTAAATGCGAAAGTCTGTGAGCATGTTTGTTACGCTGTAACTCAACAACTATTAAACGAATTGAGATGAAATTTGACACAGCATTTGTAACGCGAGCGGAGCCGCTGGCAGCTTTTGCCCGCGACTTTTTTGCGCGTGGAATAGTGACTTCCAGCATCCTATGCAGGATCCAGGATCCTATCCTATTCTTAGACAGTCCTATCCTATGTCCTTTCTCGAGTTCCAAACTATGTCTCATTATGTCTGTACCAAATTTCACACAAATAGGTTCAGTAGTTAAGGCTTGAAGAAAAGACAGACAGACAGACAGAGTTACTTTCGCATTTATAATATTAGTTTCGAATTCGTTCATAACCACATGAGCTCATATCTAGGTAATATATACTATCTACATATATGCACAAATTTCTGGTGAAATGAATCACCAGCCAAAGTAATTAACGGGTGCGCCAGTGACACACAGACACACAGTCAGAACGCATGCGCCAACTAATTCGTGTTTGCAAAACATTTCCGCGAAATGACCGGAATATAGGAATTCTTTCAGCTATTTACAAAAATGTTGTTAATGTAACACTAATCGAGGTTTTTCGTTCGTTTTTTTGTTTGGATTCTATCTAAAACTATCCTAAGTCCTTTCTCGAGTTCCAACCTATGTCTGTACCAAATTTTACACAAATAGGTTCAGTAGTTTAGGAGTAAGGAAAAGACAGACAGACAGAGCTACTTTTAGTTTAGATTATTTTGTTTGACGTTCAAAAGTGGTACCTGGTATTCTCACATTGGTCTTTTTTCATTTATTTGTGATAAACGATTTGACTTTAATTTAAGAGCAATACTTGTAGTATGCAACATAATTTCATTTGACAAGTCGTTTTAGTAAAAAGTTTGTGTCGCTTATAATGTAGACGCAGCATTTTCGATTTATTATGAAAACTGCATAGTAAGTATGGGAAGATGGATATTTGTTACTTTTCTAAAACACTGAATGGATTTTGAAAAGAATCGTCACAGTGGAATAACAACTAGGCTACTATTCATCAGGGTAATGCGGGCGAAGACCAGCGTAAACGCTAGTTATAAGTATCCGCTATTAGACGGTTACTCCTGAACCAATATTTAACGTCATATTTCTAGTTATTTCTTTTAAACAATCACCGTTGACTCTCGTGTCTCTGAAATTTAATTTCAAACAATACGTAACACTATAAAATGGTTTCTTTTAAGGGTGATTCTAAACCCCTCGACGGCTTTTCTGCTCCATTGAGCGTCCAATGAGTGGAGTCGGCTAGAAGGGTCCCCTTCAAATAAGGGTTTTAATAGGGTACCCGTTTTACGCATTTTGCATGCTGTAACAGATGAAGCGACAGAATTATTTTTAATATTAGTTTTTTGCTAGAAGTTTGCTAGGTGATCTTTGAAGTGTATTATGTATCAATGGTCGAAAAGTTTCGATTGACCAATTAGTAAAAGATAACTGTGTAAATATGTTTTTTTTTTTGTCATTCAATCTTTTCTTCTGTCTGTATTTTAAAATAGGCTCGGTGGTAGCACGGGGAATTTGAATATTTGTACGTTTATTGCAATTAGCAACTCGATATCGGATAGTATGCTGGTTAAAAACATATACGTATTTGTAGTAATTACATAATGGCGTGTACTTATGAGTTTATATTATTTTGCTTGTTCAAACCATCATACTTGTTTTTTTTTGAAACGTCGCCCCACATTAGTATTTTCTCTTGTGTCGTGGGTGCGTTTACAAACATACAAATTCACATACACAACACACCCAGACCCGAAACAACAATTTGTGGATCACACAAAGTGTTGTTCCGTGCGGGAATCGAACCTGTGACACATTATGCGGTAGCCAGGCTCAACCACCGCAATTTTAAAGTCATGATGATTATGTCTCGTGTTCCGTCTGCGGGAATCGAACCTGCGACACGTTGCATAGCAGTCAGTTGCCCAGCCTCTGCGCCAACCGTGCAGTCATTATATTTTTTTTTGACTTTTGACTTTGACTACTAATTTGGTTAAAACTATGACGTTGTAAGCATTTTCATTCTTTTGAGTGTAGGCAGGGAATGATGGCTGCAAATAATGTTTTGAATTTTCTTTCAACCCACTTTTATGCAAATCGAAAACTCGGGCAACAACTAAACTGATTAGATATTGACGTTACAAAAATAAATAACATACTTCTATGCACAAAAATAAAATATAAATTATCATCAGGTGTTCATCTTGCCAAAAATATAAATGGCACGTAAACAACGTAATCTAAACTTTAAATCTTGCAGATAAAGTCCATTATCATTTCAGCACAGATATGTCAACTGTTTGAAAGATTTCCAAGTGTTTCAAGATTGTCTGTTTTTGATCAATAAATGTGTGTCAGCAGCACGTAAAGTTATACCAAGCTAATTTGTAAGGCAATATAATATTACAATTTTTAATGTCTGTTGTATCCTCTTCATATAAGATCCACATAAACAAGTACATACCGAGTATTCAGACGTGAAAGGCATATTTTATGTAAAAATTAAATATTTTAAAAAAAAGCAGTAATATTGTACATATTTGTATACAAAATATACGCCCATTTTGTAATCTTAGATTCAGCCGGGATTGCGGGTTAAGCGCAATGAGTCACCGAGGCCTCGGCACAGAGCAGGAGAAGGGGAAGGGTAGGGTTAGTCAGTAAGAGTCTGACACTCTTTCTCTCGCCTTATCCTGGGCGGTAGAAGTCATTTGATGTTTTTCCCTTGACAAAAAAAAACAAAGCCAAGCTTAGATAGCAAGTTTTTCAGGTGGAGGGCATGAGAAGGAACGGGTTGAATTTTAGCCAGCAAGAGTCTGACATTCCCTCTCGCCCTTACCAGGGAGGTCACTAATTGATTTTAACCCCTCAGAAAAGCTAAATTAAAATAGTTATAAATGCGAGTGAAATAGACAACCATAGCTAGTTAAGTACTATACACATGAATTGTTAATCTACCAGCATATTACCAACATCCAGCTGCATATAAAACAATAAAAAAAACACAAAACCATTGTCTCAACATAATCGCACCAAAGCCAAAATGATTCGACCGTTAGTATTCGAAACGCGACCGAGGAAACTCCTGCGCATACATAGTATAGTTGTTACGAACGGACCTTTGTTTACCAACTTTATATTTTATTGTGGTACCAGTTTTACCATGTGGAATATTTATGGCATGTTTTGTGTACTTTAATGGGGTGTTATGAGGGTTAATTATAAACTAAGTACTTATAAATAGATTTGGGTACTTTTAATTTAATGTGCTTTTTATTACTTACAACTTTCTTTAGCTTAATCTTGTAGGATCTGGTTCTTCAAATGTGTGTGTGTTTGTGTGAAGTGTCAGACTCATACTGACTAAAAAGTACCCCGTTCCATCTACTTCTCTAGACATTTGAACATTGGCTCTGTTTGACCCCATTTGTGGTGGTCTCAGCTTAAAGCCTTTCTCGATAAATGGACTAAAGAATTATTCAATTCAGACCTGTAGTATTTTCAAAACCAAAAAAAAACAGTTTTATAATATTAAGTATAGATTTTAAGTCAATAGTTCTATTCTAGAAACATGGCCATTTTAATTAGGAATGACACAAACATGTCCGCTGTTTTACATGAATATGTAGAAGTGTGAGGTGTGACAAATTTAATTAATAATACTCCGTCACTCCCTTAACTCCCAGAGGTCTAGAATTTGTATGTTTGTGCACGCATCGTCTACCTGTGGCCGTATTTCACCTGCTAGTCTCTAAAGGGGTAAGCAGAAATGTTACTTTCGCTATATGATTAGTTCTAATGTGTGTAACGTTTATACGACTCCGTGAGGGCAATGATGTAGGTGATCGTTTTTAACTACATATTTATATGTATATGCTACTTTTTTGTCAGGGAAAATCATCAAATGACTTCTCTCTCCTAGGGTAAGGCGAGAGTGAGTGTCAGACTCTTACTGACTAACCCCTCCCCCCCCGTTCCTTCTCGGGCTCCAACTCTAGGCCAAGGGCCGCGGTGCCTCATTACGCTTGCCCCGCAACCCCGGCTAAACATCAGCCCTATAGAGCCCCGTCTGTGGCGTCATGGAACGCTTAGCGCCGTGCGCTCGGGTACCTCCTACTCTTGTGATGCTGATATTATAAGGTTCTGAATGGTCTTCGTATTGTTCCAGTCGCAATGCTCATCCCAGGAGAGGTTGCTCGCAGTCCAGGCGGTGTGCGAGCCGCCGCGAGCTCCGTGTCCACATTGCCATCAGCACCAGAATTCGCTCAAGTAAGTTGTACACGACGGTTACGGCGGATTTTGGGAAGGTTTTGAAAATAGACATGATTTAAGTGACATGTGTAATTAGTTAATTAACCGTCATTTTCTTATTGGAGACAATTTTAATGTTAAACATGGCTCTTCAACGGCTTAGCAATGAACTATCAAACTTTATTAAGCTTAAAATTGAAGGTAAAAAGTAACATCAGAACTTAAACTCGTAGATTGGTATTTCTAAATAAATTCGTTTCCATGATGGCACAAGTGCGACCAAAGCATATGTATGATTTTTTTCAATTTGATCTTTAGTGAATATTTAAATGTTTTATAGTTGCCTTTTACGCAAGTTCAAATTATTTATTTGTGTTTCTTCTCCCCAAATAATAGGTATCTAAAGGTTTATTTCCGGAATTTGGGACGTGCCGCACTTCAGTGTTTCGGTGTTTTTATGGTTGTGTTTACTGTTCTGCCTGGCTTATAGAAGTTGCAGTGGTTTTGAGAGGTTTTTGTGGGATTGGCATGTTGTTGAGCATACATTATTCTACATCCTCATACTAATTATACGTAATATTTTCCCCTGCAGCAGTTCACAGGGCAGCGGTATGAACAACTGGGCGTCGCTGTCCGACAGCGGCGGCAGTGGCAACACCGCTGCACGCGCCCCCTCGCCGCAGAGCCCCGCGCGGCGCGTGCGCAGCAGAAGTTTGAGGTACATATTTTTTATGGAATAAGATTCAAACGAGCATAGGAATCACTTAATGTCTCTAGTCAGTAAAGTATTTTATTATAGAAATATGTTAAATATATTAGATAGATCGAGGTCGTGGTGGCCCGGAGGTAAAGGACCCCGCTTCTCATGCATAAGGGCGTGGGTTCGAACCTGGCTAGTAGTAATGTGATTTTTTCCGAGTTATATGTACTTACTTTCTACGATTATTTAGACACCACTGACATAAGGTGAAGTTAAACTTCGTGAGGAAAGCTAGACTTATAAGTTTGAAATCACCAACCCGTATTGAGCAATTAATTAATGCTCAAGCCTTATCCGTTTGAGAATAGGCCTTTTCTCAGAAGTGGACATAGGCTGATGATGATGATGATATTAGATAATACATAGTCGGCCCTACTCAGTATGTCATCGACAGTCCAGTGTCCACTATTCAGTATGTCCGCGTCAATGCGATCTTGGCAATAGTATTGTTTACCGCGCCCCGGTAATGTAACGCAATTTATTGCGTGTATTGTGATCGGATGTTAAGGCGCCCGCTTCTTATCTGTGAGGGCGAGACATTCTTAGTATGTACATACTACTGACATACTGTCAAGAAAAACATAATTTTTTTGACAAGGGGAAATCATCAAGTGGCTTCTGTTGCCCACGGTATGGTGAGAGGGAGTGTCAGACTCTTACAATCATCCGATCAATGTTAGAGTCATCTGATTGGTTGACTAAATTATCAACAACCAATCAGATGACTTGACAAGAGATTTGTCAGGAGATTAGTTAATTTAAGCGTTGACAAGCCTTTCAGAAACCGGGTGTTACTGATTTAAAACCTCCCCGTTTCTTCTCCTGCCCTAGGCCGAGGCGCGATACCTTATTGCGCTTTAAAGAAAACCTAGACTTACAATTTTTGATAAGAAGGTTGAAACTGCCAAAACACCTTGACTTAATTAATACTATACTAAACTTCTGTATAAATATTCTAAAGCTGAACAGCATTTTTGAAATTTTGTTTTATAATCTCCGGAATTGCTGATTCGAATGAACAATTCTTTTTGTGTTTTTAAGTCCTTTTATTGACGAAAGCTATAGGATTTAAAACTGAGAGAGACAGCTAGGACCAGCATCCGTGGCAATAATCATTGTGAAAAAGTACTGTTACGTGCCTGACGTCACGTTTCTGACTATGCGGGCTTGGGTTACGGGATTGGATGAAATGAAACACTAATACCGGTTTTCAGACTTTCTATTGCACAGCGTCCACGGAGTTAAGTTATCGGCGTTCTTCTCTAGCAGAGTCCGGCCGACTGACACAACTTTGCCGTTCACGCTGACTTAACTCACTTAACTGACTGCACTTCACTATTTCACTGCACTTCACTATTTCACTCACTTTTCTTCTTTTCCACTTTTTCCTTTTCTTCCGAATCGCTTTAGACTTAGAACTCAACTGCCAGCGGTGAGCCGCAGTTCCGCTTATATACCCCCGGTCAGGTTCTAGAACATTCAATTTCGTTATTCTTTTTGATCGTCATGCCTCCAGAACCTTCCAATAATTTCGTTATTCATTTTTATTTATTCTCCTTCTCGCTCCTTAATTTTTCATTTCTTTCACTCAAATAATTCCAGAAAGTTCGACAAAACTTCCATCAACTAAAAAACTTCATGTTTACGGCGGGACTCGAACTCGGGGTCTCTGTGGTGTAATCCACACGCCTTACCGATTACACCAACTCGTGTTGACAATTCACGACGAAATTTACAATCTCTAGGCAACGTTTGACAACCATCCCTTGACGTCATGATGTCAAAGAGTTTTCCGTCACAGTACGAATTTTCCTTTTGTTCTTTCTTTTTTAATTAATATTATGCTTTCAGTTCGCCGTCCCGCACTGGTGGCGGAGGCGGTTCCAGTGGCGGCTCAGGCTCGAGGGACGACGCGGTATCGGCCATGTCTGCGCTGTTCGCCGCACGCTTCCCTGCCGCGCAGAAAGCTATGGATGACAAGTACGTTTTGATACTAGCAGGGAAAGAAGTAGCCCATTACTGAAACTTTTTAATACTTAATTAGACAAATGATTACAAAATAGGTCGGAAACGATTATATGGATCACCTGATGTTAAGCATACCTGTATTTAAACACAATGCTAAAGTTGATTACAAACTGGTTTGCTGTGAGTAGTAGTACTACTCTGGCTGAACACGGCCTATTCGTGCTGAAGAATAATGCTAACTTAATGCTTTAGTTTGATTTTTGTATGGTTTACCTACAAAACGCTCTTAGATTTAGATTTATCTGTTTTTATGGTATAAGTCGGCAAACGAGCAGACGGATTACCTGATGGTAAGCAATCGGCGCCGCCCATGCAACACCAAAGAAGTTACGAGTGCGTTGCCGACCTTTTGGGGATGGGCGTTGCGGATATAAGGATTGGGAAGGGATAGGGGAAGGGGAGGGATTGGGCCTCCGGTTCTCTATTAACGTTGGATTGTTACTTCAGTAAATCTACCTTAATATAGGATCTTCTGAATAAATCTGCATCATTGGAGGGGGTGGGGAGAAGTGTGTGTGGTAAGGTTTGTGTCACAATCCAAGTCTTGTTTAAAGTTACTTAGCTGTAATGTTTTAACTGCTTCCAGACTACGAGCGTTAATCGACGAAGTGCTAGAGTTGGACAAGAAGCCCGACCGGCCGCCCATCGAGAGATTTGTACAGAGACAGGTACACATTCTTATATACAACAGTAACGTCAAATAACAGAAATATTAAATTTCGACAATAGTAATATCCTTCCTCTGCCCGTTCCTCCTCCCTTTCACCACATGCTTCAGCGTGACCGCTTCCCCCTTCCCCCATTTCCCTTTACCCACTGCCCCCCTTTTCCCCATCTATATATTTTCTTAATCTCAATCTTCTATCCCTTTCGCTCTATCTTCTTACCCACAACCTCGCTCCGTCTTCTCCCCTCCCCGCATATATTCCTCCTACCTTCTCTGAATCTATAAATCAACTGCAGTAGATCCATTAATCAATTGGAATTATGACGATGTAACTCATTAAGAAAACCACTATCCTTCCTTCAAAAGAACTTGGTTAAGTGTCATTAAAAATCTAGTCAATAATTTTCATGATTGTAGACTTTTTGTAAAGGTACCGGCCCGGACATCCTCCTGAAGCTGTATACTATTTAGTAAACATGTCTCCTTGACTATATTTATTCTAAATATCTGCAGGTGTTGGAGATGGCTCGCGACTGCTTGCACAAGTCCGAGTCGAAGCAAGTCACCAGCACCTATTTCTACGACATGGCTGACAGCCTGGACAGGCTACTTGCTGAGGTGAATATTTTTTTTAACCAATGCACTGTTAATGTAAGCCTTATGTTTCAGGGTATAACGTACATTTTTTTATGTGATAGGGCGGCAAACGAGCAGACTGATTACTTGGTGGTAAGCAATCAACGCCGCCCATGGACAGTAATACCAAAAAAGTTACTATAGTTCGTTCCATAATTAGAGACAACGATTTGACATTTCGAGTGTTACATGTTTTTTCCATTTCATAAATAGTGAAGTCACCACAGTTTACCGAAAGACCGAAAAGCATTTGTAAAACTATTAACTATTAGCATCCATATGATATAATTATTTTACAAGAAACTATGGTCAGCTTTGGCATTTCCTCACAGCAATTTTACACATGGAATGTCAAACATAATTTACCTAAGCCTAGAAATACGTTGGTATTAGTTTCTATAATTATAAAAATAATGTCTGTTAGTCAGATTGTAATACCGCTCCCATCCGATCTCTGATCTCTTCATATTGCTCCGAGTTTATTTATTTGTGATAATCTTCAAGTCATTTTTTAGCTTCATGTATACTAATAACTAGGTACAATTATACTATAAAAACATATCCGCAATTTTTTTTTTGTTTTGCTCAGAGCAATCTATAAAGAAACGGTATCAGTATTTTAAAAAATCGTACTCGGGTCCATCACTATGTTAAAAAATCTGGCCACATTATTTTGTAGTTTGACATTTGCAGTTGTCAAATTGTTGTCTCTGGAATGAACTATACAAGTGCGTTGCTGACCTCTTGTGGGTTATTAGGGATTTCAGGATAAGGGATTTAAGGATTGAAGATGGAGGGGGGGGGGGAGAGGATTTGGCCTCCGTTAACCTCACATACACGGCGAAACTCAACGTAAATGTTTTTTAACCCAAGAACTGCACTTTAGGACGGCTTAATACCGTTGCCTGATGTTAAGCAATCGGTTTCGTTCATGGAAACCGCAATATTAGAAGAGTTGTCAGTGCCTTGTTGGCTTTTTGGGAATTTGAGGTTGGTGGGGGCGCGAGAGTTGGTGTGTGTATCCTCACCTACACTGAGAAACACATGGGCGGCGTTGATTTACGCCGGTTTTCTGCGAGGCCGTGGTAGTTATTCTGATCGAGTCGGCCCATTCGTGCCGAAATATGGCAGTACCATTTTTCTTTTTTGTTAAAATACAAGGTTTATCTTTCTTTATAATTAAATAAATATGTTTTTTATTGTTAGACGAGAGAGAAATCAGCGGAAGCCGGCAACCAAGTAGCCCCGTTAGTGACGCGACTGATACTCGCCATGGCGCGGCCGGCGCGCCTGCTCGAGTGTCTCGAGTTCGATCCCGAGCGGTTCTATCGACTGCTGGAGGCCGCCGAGGGTCACGCTAAACATCAACAGGTATGTATCAAACTTTTTAGCCCTAAAAAAGTCTATACTAAGCTATAAATACTATAATTTCCTGTAAGTAAGAAAGCATAGGATATTTTATATTCTACTATTCATATGAATAGAGCTTTTATTGTGTTTTTCTTCTTGGAAATCACAATAAATTATGCTGAAGAGTTTGTTTTTAGCAAACGAGGAGACGGATTACCTGATGGTAAGCTATCGACGCCGCCCATGGACACACCAGTGGTGTTACAAGGTCGTTACCGGCCTATTGCGGATTAGAGTTTCAGCAATTTTTTGATTGGTGGAGGGGAACAAGGATTGGGTCTCCGGTAATCTCACTCACACGGCGAAACACAACCAACCCATACGTACCGAAGCATGGCTCTCCCTCATTTACGTTTGAACGCGCTAATCTCAGAAACTACTGTACAATAAATATAAAAATGTATACAGGTGCATACATCCCAACTTTCAACTGTTAAAGGGCTTAACATCTAGTGATATATGCTATACTAATATAAGCCTTATGTTCTAGGGTATAACGACGGATATCCCGCAGTATATAATACACAAGCTGGGCCTGTCCCGAGACCCGCTGGCTGAACTACACGCCCCACCGCCTCCCCCACCGCCACAGAACACTTCGCCTTCCAAGTAAGTTACGGATCCATAACAGGGGTAGACAGACAACTTAGAGATTTTTTATAATTTAATTATAATAGTAAACTTGAGCCTATCTCACTGTCTAAATAGCTGCTATCTACCAGATAAACTAAAGAATCTCTGTAACGACATAGTGTTTCCTTCACGATTACGCGGCCATGGGCTAGCCGCGATTTTGTATATCCTCTCGCCGTCAAGCGGCATCGAACTCGGCAAATCTGTCTGGGCAGAAGCTTCAGAGTACTTAAAATGTAGGACGTAATTTTTAAAAACTATTTGCCACATTAGTTTATCACGTACTTATAAGTATGAAGGTGATAAGCAAGTCTCCTATAGGTACTCATACTCATTTCCTAAGCATAATTTAATATGCTGTAGGTCTCAATCATCACAGATAAAATAATGATGTTTTAAATTTCGAAAAGTAAATTCTTATTGGTGCTTTGTTTAGACTAAACCTGATACTACATTTTAAAAGTCCCTGTAATAATTGACTTGATTCCTCAGTCAAAAGAAAAATGCACGGCTTTTGACGCAAAAACGTTTTGACGTCACAATTTACAACAAATGGGATAAGATTCTCACTTTAACGTTTCGAACTAATTCAAAAGTACCGTATTAATTTATTTGTACCTTGTAAAATACTGAAATCCAGCTGGGGCTGATTAAACTACTAATTAATACAAAGAGGTAGTGGAAAAAGCCTAAGAGAAATGAAGTATTTTTTTTTACAAAATAACGTTTTTTTTTCAGAACGCGTGGTCGTCAGTCCCCGCCTAGTGGGCAGGGCTCAACCAATGCCCCGCCCTCTGAGAACGACTACCACGTCATCAAACTGATCTCTAACGGCGCCTACGGTGCCGTCTATCTGGTTAAACATAAGCAGACTAGGACTAGGTGAGGATTGTGGTTATTTGTAACATTATTAATATTTAACAAAGGACGAATTGAAGAAAGAAGATAGTCTCACCCAAAGCCTTGCTTCTGCTGCACTAAGGTGTTGGTTTGACCAGAGTCTAACGAAGGCCTCACTCAAAAACTGTTTTTTTCTTTGAGTAGGAATGACATTGAATATCTCCTCTGCGCTCTAAATGCAGTGCGAGAGAGAGAGAGAGTGACAGTGAGAGAGAGAGTGACAGTGAGAGAGAGAGTGATTAAAAACACCTCGTTTCATTACGCTAGAATACCGGCGTGATGCATCGCTTACGCAGTGTGTTCTAAATATTCTAAAAGGCCTAGAAAATACTCGTAACTTCTCTACATCTCTTGTCTCTCTCTTGGCTATGTATGCCGACTGCTCACATAAGGACATCTGTTCAAAGTGAAAAGCCACTTCATTCCATAGTACTGACTTTTAATTAAAATTGTTTACCATCTCAGGCAAAGATATGAAATGCGTCAACAAAAATATATAATATTTTGAAGGTCAACTAAGGAAAGTTTTTAGAAGTGTTAAAACTTTGATAAGTCTGGCTATTAAGTAGTTTTGTTATAAATACTAATCCCAAACAAAGTAGCGCCACTTTGAAAGAAGAAAAAAAACTATAACACAATTTTTCTCCGCAGGTACGCGATGAAGAAAATAAGTAAAAACAATTTGATATTAAGAAATCAAGTGGAGCAAGCGTTCGCTGAGCGGGATATCCTCAGTTTCGCTGACAATCCTTTCGTGGTAAGTAACATTGCGTTTTTACATAGGTAAAACTATAGTTTCAGCGATCATTGTCATAATAATCATTAGCCGGGAGGAGTTTGCTACTAGACTAGATGAAGGCATTCTTCAAGATGGGATGTCGGCACAATTCCTATATTTTTTTACCTTTAAAAATTTTTAGGGAATGTTGCTTACCATCACTCGGAGGATGGGTACAGTATTATTACTTACCTGGATTGTTACCTTATTTATACCTCCAGCTATTATACATGGACATTTAAGATGCCCATTAATATTCTTTTTTTTATTTATATATTTGTGTAGGTGACAATGTACTGCTCGTTCGAGACGAAGCGTCACCTGTGCTTCGTGTTGGAGTTCGTGGAGGGGGGCGACTGCGCCACCCTGCTCCGCGCCGGGCCGCTCCCCCCCGACATGGCGCGCCACTACTTCGCCGAGGCAGTGCTCGCCGTCGAGTACCTGCACTCATACGGCATCGTGCACCGGGATCTTAAGCCTGATAAGTATGTATGACACTTTGTAAGGGGGGTGGGACTTTTTGCTCTCCCTTCTAAGGGGGGGATGAGAGACGGGATTTGTTCCTTGCCCTTCTACGTAAGACGGGGGATGGGACTTGTTCCTAGCCCCCTCTAGGGGGAATGGGGGATCGGTTAGTGGAGGTGATTGCTTGCAGCAAAATCAGGAAGCATTATGCAAGTGAAGTCTAGAAAAATAAGAATATGATCTCAGTTCGAATTTGAACTCATATGAACAATAAGTAACATTTATTATTTATCATACACACATACACATTTTACAAAAGTGAAATAGTAGTTTAAGTGTTTTAAGTTTGTATCAACTGATACGTAATTCAAATACATTATTAATTGGTCCAGTTCACTGCCTCGGCTTGTTTGTACAGACTTTCGTAAATAGAACAAAAAATATATTTTGCCTGATTTGACAACCAAGTTGATGTATTCATTTAGATAATGTATTACAAACAAGTTATGGGTCTGTCACATTATAATTATTAAAAAACTTATCTATACTCGGAATTTTAATTCCATTCCAGATTTGACAATTTCAGTGTTGCAACGTTATGACACGTAATAAATAGTGACGTTGCGAAATTATTCGATATGGAAATCGAATATTTCTGAATCGATTCTTCTCGTTTATAAATTTAATCTCGTAAACTAAGTTTATCAGGAAATAAAATATTTCTGAACCGATTATTTAGTTTTGACAATTAATTTACGATCTGAGACTTTTCTGTTGTAATTGTGTGTGAAATTAATAAAAAAATGTGATCATGAAGGAAGGAACATGACAAATAAAACAGATATTTTATAAATTGTCGCCGTCATCGCTATCGCTATCGCTGTTACTTTCTGTAACATTTATTATGACTTGGGTCTGTGATTTTTATTGTCAATTAACATATCTAGCTTACTCATTTTTTCCTCTTCTTTCACAACATGGGATACGCATTTAGACCATTCGGTAGCCGTATTTTTTTGAATGCCTTCTTGTAACTGATTCACTGATTGTTTATCGATTTTTGTGTTCATCACTACACTGTTATATGTGGTATCATTATTTCACAAAATGACAATAGGTCATGTCAAATCAGGAATCGAATTAAAATTCTGACTATATATTATATTTTAGTTAATTTTATTCTTACAATATTTCAGTTTGTTAATAACGGCGACCGGTCACATCAAACTGACGGATTTTGGTCTCAGTAAAATGGGATTGATGTCATGTAAGTACAAAGTTTTATTTCATCACAAATTTTTCTTATTTCAAAGAACTTCCAAACCTGCTACTACTATGTTTAAAAAAAAATGTGTGACCCCCGAAGTTGATGACAATAATTTTTGATGTTACAAATATAATAAATACGAAAAACAATCGTTGGTCGAATCCGAAGTCCTTAAATATTTATTTTAATTTTTTATATCCTCTAGCAGTGTGCAGGTTTTTTTCTTTCTAAGTTTATTTAGACACTAACTTACAAACGGTGAAAGAAAACATTGTGAGGAAATATGTAATAATTTTTAAATTATAAGTTTGATGTCGCCAATCTTCCTTGAGTAGCCGTGGTGATTAACGCTCAAGCCTTCTCTGTATGAGAAGAGGCTTTTGCTTAACAGTAGTCACTTATAAGCTGATGATGATGACAGAACCCTTAACGGACAGTTTCGACTTTAGTTTTAAAAGTAAATTGTGTACATTACAGTGGCGACGAATCTGTACGAAGAGTACGCGGACAGGGAGGCGCGACAGTTCTCCGACAAACAAGTCTGTGGCACCCCCGAGTATATCGCACCTGAAGTCATACTTAGACAGGTGAGGGAAAAGCAACTCTATTCAGTCGTGACAAGAGTGGAATTCGATGATCTCGTTAGCTTTTATTGGGACCAGCCAAGGAAGTTGGAAATGCAATAGTTATCTTTTTAGAATAGAATAGAATGAGTAGACAGATCACCTGATGGTAAGCACTCGACTCGTCGTAGGCTTAATAGAGAAACGACCTAACTAAAAACAGAAGGTATTGTATTCTTAAAATTTATATTTTAATAATAAGGTTCAATTTTGAAGTACCCTCTTTGAAGAGTTAGATCTGTTTTCTACTAAACATGCGTCGTGTCGCGTCCGAAAATAAAGCTACCTCATAACCGCTTTTAAATATTTTTCTGACGATTGGAAAGATATTTTCAAGTAATTTTTTTTTAATTAGTTATTTTAGTGCGTTTGATTTCTATTAGGCCTGATGGAAAGCAATGATGGGATCTAAAATCTTGACTTCTTTTGAACTGACCATCTTTGCCTTGAAAATCCCTAAATCGTAGGTCTCTGGGAACAGCGACGTCGCATAGCCCGCCAACTTTTTGTCGTCCCGTTAGCATCGAAAAAGTTTTAATTTTTTAATCATACTTTTTTCAGTTAACGATAATGTTATAGGCCTAAACACTTGTATAACTTATATGCTATACGTTTTCAGGGTTATGGCAAGCCAGTGGACTGGTGGTCGATGGGTATCATTCTATACGAGTTCCTGGTCGGCTGCGTACCCTTCTTCGGAGACACCCCCGAGGAGCTATTCGCGCATACTGTGAACGGTGAGTTTTGATACAGTTTTATTAGATACTGTACAAGCTTAGAGCGACTTGTCGGCGATTCTGTCCGTTTAGAATTAGTGATTAGTGATTCTATGTATAATTAGGCGGGTATTAACGCGAAAAGTAATTAATTATTCTTTTATCGTCCACCTGTCGTTTATTGTAAACATGAAAAGTGAAAATGGTGATTCTAGGTATTCAAAGTTAAAGTCAAAATCATTTATCATTTATCACCACATATGCCAGACATAGGTATTTTTTAAACGTCACAATATATTATTTCGTTTAGTCCGTTAGTCTGTTCGTCAGTGAAGCTAGGATCGATATTTTTTCTTTGGTGTCTAAAATTTATTGTAGCCAATATGTTACTAGTTATACAACAACAAAAACATTTCTTTTTATTCAAATGCGTCATTTAGTTAGTTATTCAGTTAATTTTCTATTTTTTTCTTACTGCTACTATTTACTTAACACCCAACATTTTGAAAATAATGTATTCTTAATTGTATTAGGATTCTGTTTTTTTGTAATTGTAATTTAAGCTCTATGCGGATTGTGATCTTGTGCTTGTAATACTATTATTTTCAAAATTCTTATATGTTTGTTTATTTGTACGCGCTTATCTCCGGAACTACTGGTTAAATTTGAACAATTATTTTTTGTTTCGTTAGTCCATTTATCGAGGAACGTTATAGAACACTAGCTACTCTCGCGCGGTTTCACCCGCTGCTCAGCTCCATTTGATCGTAGCGTGATTTTTTATATATCATGAGCGTGATAACTATAGCACTGAGGACCATTGTAGCTATCTATCAGTGAAAGAATTTTGTCAATCCGACCAAGATTTTTCAAAGATTACCCCCTACAAACAAACTTACAAACTTACAAATTTTACCTCTTTATAATATTAGTATAGATAAACACACGAATGTCGCGTCGCGTTACGATCTGTAGGAACAGAGCAGCGGGTGAAACCGCGCGAGAGTATATAGTATTGCACAAATATCGATGGATGTTTGTTTGTTTTTAACGTAAGAACTACTGAACAGATCTGAATAAAATTTTAATAAAATTGTATTTTATTAAATTTTATATTTTATATATATTTAAAATACCTTACCACATTCTTTTATGTTACAGATGACATTGAGTGGCCTTCGGAGGAAGACTTCCCCATAGCGGTGGAGGCACGCGCCATCATCACGGAGCTCTTGGCTCGGAACCCGAGGGACAGGCTTGGCACTGGCGGGACTCACCAAGTCAAGGTAAATGCCTTCACAATACTTTTTTTTATGTGATAGGTCGGCAAACGAGCATTCTGATTACCTAATGGTAAGCAATCAGCGCCGCCCATGGTCATCCGCAACAAAGGACGAGTGCATTGCTGACCTTTTGGTGATTGGGAAGGGATTGGGTGAGGAGAAGGATTGGGCTCCGGTTATCTCACTCACAAGGCGAAACAACGCTGTGGTTGTTTCACGCCGGTTTTCTGAGAGGCCGTGGTCGAGCCGACCCATTCGTGCTGCAGCATGGTTCTCCTAAACTTTAATGGCGGACTACTAAGCTGACCGGTCACCTGATGGCAAGCCAACATCTGACACTGAGAAACACTGAGCTCCATGTTCAGCTCTCCTCATCCAACCCCTACCAGCCACTCTGCGGATATCGTCAGTAAGCAATAGTTGTCCCAAATCTTGTTTGACAAAGTCCGGATTTCACCCAGTTGTACAGTTCCTTGTACTTAGGTTTAAGTAATTCTGTTTCCAGTATTAAATTTACTGAGTGGATGAAATCTTTTTTGTTTTCTTCGCATCTGTCAGGATCTTCTGATCCATTTTGTTGCGGGATCTAAAACAGAAATACAGTTTAACGGGGTGTCTTAAGGACATGAATAGTTTTTTGGTGTTATCAAGGTTATATGTGCATATTATGTTGTCTCAAGTTAAAAATAATCTCAGTATACCTACAAATTCTTTTTTTGCACAGGAACACGTTTATTTCTGTGGTCTGGACTGGAATAACCTGCTAAGGAGGAAGGCAGAATTTATACCACAGCTGGACAACGATGAGGATACCAGCTACTTTGATAGTAAGTTACCATTACACAATACAATAAATTATTTAACAAAAGAAGCAATCATAACTGCACAATTTTAATACAAACATATTTTTAAATTCTTAAATACATTTTTTTGTGAATTAGTTACCGAAATTGTATATTGTATTAGCTGGCCGCCCCCGTTTCGTAAGGATGTCCAACAACCTTAGTACCAGTCATTTGTTGGTCAGATACCTCAGCTTACAAGAAATGCCATTTCCCAATTTTAATCTATAGTTTTCTATAACTTTTTACTAACAAAGTTACTTAGAGCTGCATCAGCTTTGCAAGGATTGCCATTTTCC